TTTTTTCTTTTAAACATAACTTAACCTAACCGAACCTAATAGCGTCTTTGCGATAAAGACCCAACATATCCTGAGAGAACAACGGTTTCGTTATAATTCGGTTTTCAGGATAGTGAAAATTCGAACGAACGTTATTTCGGAAAAAATAAATTGGAGTATGTGATAGGTTACCCATCCTGCTATGTATAAAAATAGTAGTTTATGTGACAGTTACATAATGAAAGGCACTAAAAGACGAACGTGGGTTTATGAAACGCCGACAGGCGAGTTTCATAAAAACATCACACGAGTGTTTCAAAGCCTAATTATGTACAGTTACATGCACTGTTTTATCTATACACATTATGACTGCCTCCGTGGCCGAACGGTTACCATGCCGGACTGCCACGCAGAGGTCCCAGGTCCGATTCCCGGGCCGGGAGAAATATTTGTATGGCCTACATTTATTTCTCTCGTGAGTTTGGGTGTTAATTTGTGGTTGTGTATGTATGTGTCCATGGCACCCGCGACACAGGGTTTCCCTAGTGCGGGGCTATGTTGAGTGTATGCGTTATTATTATTATTATTATTATTATAAGCTCTGTAGGATGTGTTCAGGAACCGCATGTTACGACTAGCGAAATGGCGCCATATAAAAACTTTTCTCACGCATGTCACACAACTGTAGTTTCTATTTAATTCATGGACAAACTAGTCGGCCCCAACTACCATATCGTTTGATATCAAGTAACGTGTGAAATTTGTCAAAATTGTTTGCTGTTGACATTTCATTTCGAATAAAACTTCATCTCGACTGATAGTCGAATCAAATTGTTGTTTTTCAAAGATGTTCGAAATTTGAATGTAATAATAAAATCGAATTCGATGTTATTATAATAATAATAATAATAACGTACACACTCAATATGTATATAGCCCCGCACTAGGGAAATCCTGTGTCGCGGGTGCCATGGACACACACATAGACAACCACAAATCACACCCAAACTCACGAGAGAAATAAATGTAGGCCATACAAATATTTCTTCCGGCCCGGGAATAGAACGTGGGACCTCTGCGTGGCAGTCCGGAATGGTAACCGTTCGTCCACAGAGGCAGATAAATTGGCAATAATAATATTTTCACAGATAAGAAATTTATTGTAACAAAACAATTTGTCTTTATGTTAGTTGTAATTTGCGGTTTTTGAACACATCATAGAGGGTTTATGATATGTGTGTAGATAAAAAAGATTAAAGATTATTGATATTTAAAAAATCAGTATATTGCACCCCTCATGGAAGAATGACATATGTGAAGTTACCTATTATTGTCGACAGCATATTAGTTGACAGTTACAAGAATTGGAGACAATTAAGGTTATATTTTCTGTATCTAATGGAGCAATAATCATTTTTGACGTAACTTCACTTATGGTATTCTTTAATGAGGGGTGTGATATAACAGAAACAGGTCTTTCTTACGTTGCAAAATTGAGATCTCTTCTTAGGATATATAATTATAACTATGAATGTTAGAAAATCAACTTTATATAATATAATTTATTTTAAGAATGTAAATTAAAAAAAAAGGCCTCTAAGGCGCTTAGGACAAGTCCTCAACTTGTGTTTTGCACAAATAGGATTTTTGAATAGCATTTGTCGCACGTCAATGTGCGTTCTCATCCTTATAATTTTTGATAGGTAAAAAGCTCAATATTTCCTGCTCTTATTATTATTAATAGACATAATTAAGACTGAAAAAAAGCAGCCTTGGTAGCCTAAAGGTTTGTCCTACTGCCTCTCAAGCAGAGGTGGATTCAAATCCGGGTTCGCACCTCTGAGTTTTTCGGAATTTATGTGCGAAATTTTATTTGAAACTCTTTTTTACAAAAAATAATATAAAAAATGATAGAGTATACGTTTGTTTGAAAGTCAAAGTCAAAGATTATTTATTCCATAGGTAAAATAAATTTACACTTGAAAACTTGAACAACTTTTGACAAAAAAGTTTTTTCTTTTTGAAAAAAAAAAAAGCGGAACGAGTGGTTGAATCTGTGCTAAAACTCTGTGCGTGCGCAGTATGGTGCGGTAAATCTTATTTTGTATTAGTTTTATTTTTGCGAAGCACTATACCGGATTTTTATTGAATTATTGTGTCCGCCTGGATGACTTGACCAAACGAGATAAACAATTCAAACTGTGCTCATTATTTAATTTTCTAAAAAGACAGTTTATCTCAGGAAATGAAACTATTTTTCCGGATTTAAATCGCGTATAAAGCTCTAAAGGGCCCGAAACGGCGGTTTGTTTGAAAAAACCATAGATTTAGTATATAGGTACAAAAATAAATTGGCAATGCAAGGGAAAGAGCGTTAGTATATACGTATGTTAGAGCGAGATGGGTAGACGAGACCACTTCATTATACGCTATGAGCCTGTATGAACCTAGGGTCAGCTGACAACGAAACAAATTTCGTTTATTTTTGAAAAATAATTTGTTTTAAAATATGAACTAGTGTTGAATGTTTATTAGTCATGGTAACGAGTTCAGTGCCCGGAAGTAACTCATCTAAAAAGGAAAACTCGCAGACTTGTACATTTCACATGTAAGTACTATTTAAATTTTTAGCTGTCTAAAACCACTACCGCAAAAGTTTTTTACATAAATATATCCGTAAAATTATACCATTCAAGTGCATTAATAACCCAAATGTATACGAATTCAATTAAAAAATATATCAAATACGTGAATTTCTAAAATTCATAACCCCACTTTCATAGAGATTGACGCAATCGATAATATGTTATCGAGATGTCAATAACTGAAAAAAGAAAGGCAAAGGCGTGGCTTGCCGCCGAAATCATCTTCATACTTAATATTATTGAATCAGAAATTTCTGATCGCAAAATCGATCAAATCGCTGATTCTAACAACAACAAATCAGCGATTTGTTGTTCTGTTCTGTTCCGAAATACGATACTCATATAGGATCACTTGTGTATCCATCTGTCCGTCTGTCACAGCCAATTTACTCCAAACCTACTGGACTGATTATTTTGAAATTTGGTACACATATGCATGTGCTTCCAAATGCCTGCTCTGTTTAGACGCACTGCTGTTGACGCCGCTTCCTGTCTAATGAATAGTGGGAGGGGTCGCAGGTCCAGCATCGCTTCGAAGGCCGCAGTTGGAGTTGTCCTCATGCAGCCAATCGTCGCCATGCAGGCTAGTCTTTGGAATTTGTCCAGCTTGTCGGTTGCGGTCGTCAGCTTGGTTCGTGGTCACCATACTATCGCGCCGTAACTGATCATGGGTCTTATCACCGTTTTGTAGACCCATAGTGTTATCTTGGGTGAAAGTCCCCATTGTTTATCTACCATCCTATGAAACTGCCAGAAGGTGAAAGTAGCTTTCTTAATTTTGTGTTAAATCATAAATAATTAGTTAAGTAACGTCTCGGCGTTTTGCGATAACACATTTTGGTGAATACGACGAAGTGAAATGCCGGTGTATTATGTTAATCGATATTAAAGTTAAATCAGTGGATGGCGCAACACTATTTATCTTGCACACATGCACATTATACGCACACAGATGTATTTTTATTTTGGTCTCGTCTCCAATACTTCAGGGCCAATCTATGGATATACTAAATCTATGGAAAAAACTAATATACGCGATTTAAATCCGGAAAAATAGTTTCATTTCCTATGTAACAATCGCGAAAAACTAAAGACAGTTTATCTTCTCTGTGTAATTGGTTTATAAATAACTGATAATGCTATGGTGTAAGGAAGATCTTAAACATTGGTTTGGTAATAGGTGCTACAAAAATGAGTTGTCATTTCATGGGAGGTTTTATTTGATTCTTGATGAATGGTATAAATTTAGTTTTGGTAACGGTTGCAGTATTGGGCGGACATAAAGTACAAGGCGCGCAAAAAATCTGCAGCGGGTGGCGCTCTCGGTGACCTCTCCAGTGCTGAGGAACGGCTGCGTGGCATCCTTGACAAAGGCGGTGAGTGTGCTCGTTCTCGCTTTGACAACCTAAAAGTGAAGTCAATTGTCTTGACTTCTCTCTTCATGTTATTAATAATAAGAAAGCCATCTAGTTCTAAAGTTATCACGATTGCTACACATTGGAATTCCAATAAGAAAGCTATTATTTCCCAATAAAAATCAATTCATTAAAATCATTGACTTACAAATAAATGGACGACGGGTCTAATACAAAAACCACGAAAAAAATGTCCCAAGTCAACCTATTGAAACGTAGTGACATGTAAAGGAATATGAAAAAGCTAAAACGTTAGATTTAAATTGTAATGTCATCGCAGTACTGTCTAATTTTGCTTGCTTTGCTCGCTGTCAGTCGAACAAACGAAGACTAAAGCGTGAATGACGCTGTGTATACGATTTTAACGCCCTATAAGTTCGGACACTTTTTAGCGCGGACCCGACGTCCATATAATTGTAAGTCAATGATTAAAATAGATTAACAAGATTTACATGCCATTATTATTTAAGAATTCTTACGATATCATATTCATAAACAACAAATGTACTTAACTAACCATTGGAATGGGTTAATTGCAAGACAACTTGCAATTTTTTTGGCCGTTAGTTCTAAAAAGGACTAAGAAGCAGTTACGACATACAAAAGAGAAAAGAAGAGAAGACAGGGAGCAAAAACGGCGTCGGGCTAATGCCTCGACTTCGGTTTTGACAAACACGTCAGCTGATTCGCCTTCCGAACCACCGTACAAATGCCCACAAACAGCGTCAAAGGCTATAAGAAAAGCTGTACAGGCTCTGCCATATTACCCTTCAAAACGTGATTACGTAATAAAAGGTCTTTGTCGTCGATTTGAAATAAAGTTATAATAAGTTATAAAAAGCCTGAAGAGAAGGAACAAGTTCATGTTGTGGATGTCTCGGACTATGATGAGCGGATAGTAAGACAATTTTATTTGCGCCCTGATATAGTTTATAGTTACTTACCCACGGATGAAAGACTCGATGACTTCTTGGAAAACTGGAGAGAAGGTACAATTCCAAAAATATTAATTAACGATGTTTTTACGCGAAGCTTTCTACATTTTCAAGCCAGACAATTCTACCGCCAAAGTCGGCTTTTCTACATTTTGTGAACTACGTCCAGAAAACGTACTGCTTTTGAAAGATATTCCGACTGAGCAATGTAAATGTTAGATCCACGAAAACTTTAATTTAAAATTAAAGGCGTTGAAAATTAGATACGACTCATGTTTTTGGGAAGCTATTTTGTGCAGCTCTGTAAATACTCAGCTTGCTGGGAAAACACTTGTGAAACGTGTCGGGATTTGCGGAACCTCAAGTTGCCAGGAAACATGCTGCAATCTATAGTTTGGAAGCAATGGGAGAAAAATGCGAGTGGTAGACTGAAACTGGCACTGCATGAAGATAATATCACTGCTGAAGTTTTTGCTAAGGTCAGGGAGGAGTATAAAAAATATGTCGATCATGTGCATTTGAAAAAAAAAAGTGATTCTAGCCGAATCCTTCAAATCGATTTTGCAATGTCGTTTTCTTGCGAATATCAAAATGAAATTCAGAGTGCACTCTGGGCACGTTCAAGTGTACTTCTATTTACAGCTGCAGTTTTCTGTAAAGGTCAATACAACACTTCTTTAATTTGCTCAGATTGCCATAGCAAAGATAAGGACAACGTTTTCGCGTTCCTTAATCATCTTTTCGAAATTATATTAAAAGAAAACAAATATGACGATTTCAAAATGTGATATGGAGTGATGGGCCAGCTTCAAAATTTAAAAATAAGTTTATGGTCCAGCTGCTCCATCTCTTAAGTCTCAAATTCCATAGAAAATTTGAATGGAAATATTCAGCAATGTCTCATGGGAAAAGGGTTGTGGATGGTGTAGGAGGAAATGTGAAACGTTTAGTGAAGCAAAAAATGCTCAGTCAGGCTGGAGTCATAGTTCAATGTGCAGAAGATTTTTTCCAATTTGCGTCAGATGTGGTCAAAACTACTAAAATTATATATACATCTGTCTCAAATTTTCACGCAAATATACCCGGAAAAACCTTGGTTGCGCGTTAAGGCAATTTCGGGTATTCCAAATTTTCTCATCATCTCCTGCACCTCTAACGAGGTACGCGCTAAAAGACACGCTCTATTTGTAATTAAACTAACGTCCTAAATTCACCTAAATCTGATATTTCTATATGAACAAGTTAAAAATGTATGTTGAAAATCTTATTTTAATACTTAATTTTGTACTCGTCCCGCACGTGACAAAGCTGTCCCGCACAAGATAAGAGGAAGTTTTTTCATAATATATTAATTATTGATGATATTTGTTTTATGTTCTTTTTTATGTACTCCTTAGTGTTCCCTTTATTTGTCATAAGCGAACCTTCGGGTTATTCTATTCCAATTCGCTAATTTTTTTTAATAAGCTACAAAGAAAAGCTAGAATTGTTTCGATGTCTGAACTCTTGCATGTTTTGAGTTTTTACGTATTGTAACGGAAAGTATAAACGTCTACACCTGTAATGTCAGTCTTTCTAGATATGACTAAAGCCTTCGACTTTGTAAATCACTCAAAACTCCTTTACAAGCTTGAAGCATACGGCATTAGAGGAACAGCCCAAAATTGGATACCGACCTACTTAAAAAATCGGACACAGTATACTGTAATAAGTAGATTAACAAAAAACAAACACAATAATAGATTAGAAAATCAAATTTTTAGATCACACCTTAAGACGACTAATTAAATCAAATCAAATAAAAAACCATTTATTCTCAGACAACTACAGTCCATATTTTATACTCGAAAAGGAAGAAGAGGGGATAGAAGAGCTCCCTTCCTCAAACTCCAGAAGACGGGCCGACGAAATCACAGGTGGTGGCGTCGGCGTCGGCTGATCAGAGCACGAGCTCTGTCCCCGTGGAGGTCATGGAGACGTGACATTCGCTCATATGCGCGTCCTCCAATGCAACCTGAACCACACACGAGGGCCACAAAGCCTCCTTCTGCAAACCCTCAATGTACTTCGGGTTGCCCTAGCCGTGGTGGCGGAGCCATATCGAGTGCCGGACCATTCTAAATGATTCGGTGATTTCGCGGGCTCCGTCGCCATCCACTGGAGAGGCGGAGAGGAGGGCCCACACTACGCCATGCTCGAACAGGAGCAGGGTTTTGTCGCAATGGAATGGCGTCCCCTCGCCATCGTGGGCTGCTATGTTTCCCTCAACGTGTCCATGGCCGCTTACGAGGAATACTTGGACGGGGTGGCAAACTGCGTTCGCAGATGTCACTCCTGTCCCGTTATTGTCCTGGGCAACTTCAACGCTCGCTCCAGAGCGTGGGGCGACATCCGAGACAATGTTCGAAGGGAGATAATGCAAGAGTGGGCAGCGGGACTAGACCTCAACTTTTGAACGGAGGTCGGTCAGTGCCTGCGTTCGCTGGCAGGGAGACTCGCTCATTGATTTATCATGGGCGACTCCTTTGACGGCGCGCACGGTGTTAACCTGGCGGGTGGCGGAAGAGGTGGTCACACCATCTGACCAGCACCACATCGTATTCGACGTGGTATTCCGTCGTTCTGCCAACCCCCGTCGCCGACGTGGCAACAATGCGGCTTGACAAAGATCTACTCGAGGCCGCAGCCATCGCCGCGACTTGGTCGGATGATACCGGCGATGAGATCTCGCTCAAAATTCAAAATCTCGCTCGATCTGGAAAAGGAAATGATGCGGCTCGAGGACGCTCATCTAAGACGTACCGATATGACTCGAGTCGCACGCACCGAGCAGCGGGTCCAACGACAGGGGCCCTCTCTTGACACAGGTTAGTAATTTTATACCTGCAATTTTTCCTTATCTTTGGCAATATTACACTGAAGAATCAAAATTAGTTTACAAAAACCATTTTTTAATTTCAGCAGTCGGCTATCACCAGGGCGATACTCTCGGTCCGGCGATCTTTTCGTTGGCCATCCATCCAACTATTTCTAAATTAAACCTATGGTACCTTGATGACGGGACTTTGGGTGGCGATGCTGAAACTGTTCTTGACGACCTACAATTTCTTATAAGGGAATTCCATTCGATCGGCCTGGAGTTGAATTTGTCTAAATGCGGATTATTCATTGACAAGTCTGCAGATGAGAGCCGGCGAGCGGGTATTATTTCCAAATTCAATATTCTGACTCCCAACATGAATAACGTCGCAGAGGATATCCCACGCCTGTTAGGCGCGCCCATACTCGATGACTCGGTCCCAGCTTTCATAAATGATCAGGTAGCCAAACTCAATGAAACTTCCGACCGTCTTTCCCAAATCAACCGCCACATCGCCTTATTTATCATACGTTTTTGTTTATTCGTTCCAAAATTCATTTACGTCGTCCGCTGTTCACACCTTTGGAAATTTGAGTCTTCTTTCTTCCGTCGACAATCTCATTCGTAAACACCCTTATCAAAATTCTAAATTGTCCTTTGAATGACCGTTCCTGGCTCCAAGCTTCACTTCCAGTCCGTGGGTTAGGAGTCTGGTGTTGCCCTCCCAGCCTTTCTCTTCGGCACACAGCGCGTACAGCCTCTACGGTAGAATCTTTAGCCCTTCTTTGGGTTCCGTTGAGTCGTCGTGCTTGGCCGAGTAGACCGATTACCACAGAACGAATCATTAGATTTCAAAAAAATATCGACAATAGGTTAAATTCTCTCGCCCATACAATTACCGGAGGTTCCAAATATTTTATATAGCACGATATTTAAATGCATTAAAAATTTTTTTGAGAACGTGTTTACATCGAAAACACTAACTTTCCATAGGGAGACTAAATCGAATGACTTGGCAGCAGTAGGCATTCATAAGAGTAGGTCTCGTTGGTATGAGCTATATGCTATGAAAACTTAAAATACTAATTCCAGTTTTATAGAAAGTGTTAAAAATTATTCAATAAAATTTAAAAAATTACGTGTAGCTGCTAAGGTTAAGTTTCATA